CGGCCACAGGCATTGGTGTAGAGAGCTTAAACGCACACGCACAGGCTTAGACCGATTGTGCTGAAAGTTGATTCACTAATGCGTGATCTCGGCTTGAATATAATATACTATAAAGCATATGAAAAGTGTACTCCATAGCGCCTCAGGCCATACAAGTGCAAATGAAGCATTAAAAGTAAAAAAAAAATTTTCACAGAATGTTTTTAAACATATATTATTATTTTTTTTCTATTTCCACCAATTAATAAAAATCAAATGACTGCAGCTGTGGCTGACATATGAATTCAAGTTTTGACATCTGAAACAATAAACATGAATAATTACCACAGACATTTAAGAGAACAGCATTAATATTAAAAATTGTTTTCATAATGCAAAGGGTAAAGGGTAATGCTTGTAGGGGCTTTACTGCTGGTAGTTGCGCTGGTAGTAGCTCTGGAACACCTTCCTCTGCTCCTTCAGTACAGCCGCTCCTTTTGGGAGGGTGGTTAGTTGTGCTTTTTCACTTTCACAGCAAAATTTCAGGAAACGCATTTCTTCTCGTGCTGAGGAGAGTGCAGAAGACAGCTCCTGCACCTTCCTGAACAGTTTCTCATTGTCTTTGTGGGTTGTATCTCCACCAACTCCAAAACCAGTGGTTTCAGAGGTTTTTTCTGTGTGTTTCTCATCTCAGCAATTATATTGTCCTTTGCTTTAAGTTGTTCCTTGATCTTTTCAAGGACTGTAATGGTGCTGGATAGCTCTTTGTTTGAGCGGGACACTTTCTCTTACTGAATTGTTATACAAATATCGGATCTCCTTGTAGACCTCCTTGGGTCTCCAGCTCTTTGTCTTTGCCTTGAGGTCTTGCATTTCCAAATTGTCAGTCTTATTCCGGACTTTTTTGAAGTTTGCAAGTTTTTGCTTCAGCTGCACATTTTTCTGTACTAGAGTTATAGAGCTGTACAGGTACCAGATCTCCTTATGTACGTTAATCTGGTCTTGCAGTTGCTTGTCTTTCTTCTGGATCATTGACATTTTTTAACTCCAAGTCATTTTCTTGGTTGATTCTCTCCTGAGACCTAAGTTTGAGGTTCAAAGAATTTCTTATTTGGACCTGATCTACACATTTGGCCCTTGTCCACTCCCAACTCTTCACCATGACCAGTGCCGTGACCAGAGTGCTTTCCTCCAGGGTTGGTCCAGTGGTCCAGGTAGGTTCCATGTCCATGGGTGTATACTAGTCTATGTGCTCTTATACTTGTTCTGATACAGCTCAAGATCATTCTAAAATTAGTGTCTAGTTTTGATACTAGTTTTAGTACTGATTGATTTAGTACCGATTTTGGATACTTTTGACAGCCCTGGTCCAGATAATAACTTGATCTAATGACTATATTATATGCACTGCACATATTTATGTTGCTTTTTAGGCTATTTATCACAGTTGTTGTAGGTTGGACTTTTGATATTGTTTTGCTACATAAAGTGTTTAGTGCTCCACCCTCACAGCAAGAAGGTGCTGTGTTTGCTTTCTGGAGAGGTAGAACATTTCAAGTTTGCATATTCTTCCCTTGTTTGCAAATGTTTCCTCTGGGCGCACTAGTTTTTCCTACACTACAAAAACACAATAGGGCCCACTGAAAATTAGACTCCAAATCTCAGTGAGACTAAAGACAAAATGTGTAAAAATGTATACTATGCTTTTTGGAGGGTAATAATAATATAACTGGTCCATTAACTTCATGCTCAATTGCAGAACACGTGGTATTTCAATGTTGGAAGCAGCAGATTTTCTTTTACTTGTAGATGTGGGTGATATGCCATATTATAAATATAAAAATTTTTCTTAGATGTTTGCATTTTTATTGCCATATCAGTCCTAATTACTTGTTTTTATTTTTTAACCCAATTTAATAATCCTTAGTTCATTATCAACAGTAAATACAGAGTAGCGGGTGGGGATAGGAGGTGAGGACAGCTATTTTCTGAGCATGCAAGCCTCAAACACAGGTCAATAGATGATTACTCAAACATAAATTAATTGAAATGCCACTTTAAGTAAGATAATGAGGAGGGAACACCATTATAACATGGTTTAAAGCTCATAAAAGTCAAAATTATATAATATGCCTATACCGTTTGTGTTCTCTTTAACTCTGCCTTTTTTCTTGTACTGTTAAGTCTAAATGTTACTTACAATTGAAGAGATGGTATTTTGCTTCTATGGGGTATTAACTGCTAACACATAATATATTTAGATCACCAAGTTACTGTTTATTGTTTTAATGCTATGTTCTATGGTATAATAATACTATATTAGATGAAAATACTATATTAACATCAGGTTTGTATCGTGTTTTTGTATATTTATGGAGAATTGTCATATATGAGTGTGGGTGATGTAGGTTTGTGGGCTGAGCAGCTAACCCGTAAGGAGAGTTTGCATAGGACCCAAGAGAGATTGTTCAGTGTTTCTAACATGCATGGAGGATGACATATGAAACCTCTCCAGGCATATTTGGGAACATGTAATATGGTAGAAAGCTGGGAAAAAAAGATGTTGCATAATACTGTACCCTTCTTTAATGTTTAATGTCCATAGACAGAAGTGGAGCACTTTCCCTGCCTGTACTGTCTTATCAGATTCTTTACAGGAAGAAAACAATGAGAAAAAGACCTATAAATCGCGTACTCTCTCTGAGCCTATTTACAAACCACTGCCAGTTTCCAGTGAGTTTTTTTTGGCAATGGAAAGGACAAAAGTCACATTCACGACTCGATCTTTTGTGTAGACCTTCTATGTTCTCAACAGTAGTCCTGTGTTAGACTTGAATCTGCTCCATTGTCCGCGACGCTGTCCGCACACGGCCACACTAGCGCCCCCTGTGGATGACATGACAGTGGCGTCTCTGTGAGGAGTGGAAACAGAGGAGCAGCCACAGAGGAGTCGGTCATGGTGGTGCTGAGATCAGTGGCTCCGAGCTCCTAGCCAAACCTCCCAGTGGTGAGCTCACTTTTGGCCCAAGACGCACGCTGCTTTAAAGACAGGGTAGGATTAACATGAAGGAGTACTCTCTCCCAAAGCGGACATATTTTGTTGTGGTTGGTTTGTGGGTCCTCTAGCAACATTGTGCCATTACTAATTTAGTAGTGGGAGATGGATAGATAAAAATGTACCATGGTTAAAGGGCTTGTATATTGTTGTGTACATTCTTCATCTAATTAGAAAGCATTTTATTGTTGGATAATCAGGATGTGCTCATTAGCTTACTAGTTTACAATCATGGCAATACTCTGCACTGGTCTGTCTCTGAGAGCTATGAGAAGTGATAGCAGCAATAAAATTAGAATGTTCCTAATGCAAAAAGTAAGCTGGGAATAACTTTGGACCACTGCAAATCGACTAGTTCTGTTTTTGATGTTTTAAAAAAGGTAAATAGCAGGTACACACAACAACTTGATGCTAACGTACATTTGCTGTATAACGTGTGAGATGACAATGAGTCTGTACTAAAGTATATGGGTTTAAAAAGCACACTGATTACATGTTTATTGTACATAATGTGGATGAATGAAATGTGAAATGTGGGACTTGCCTCTCAAATCTGCAAAACAAATTTACCTACGGGTACGAATAAAGCAACCTAACCTAACCATAATCACATACGAGGATGGGACTAGAATTTTTGTCTATCATGCAGGCTACATTAGTAAATCTAGATAAAAAAAAAAAAAGAAGACAAAGACTTACTCAGTTACATTTGCTTGAATAACTTTTGAGTACTTTTCTAACTGCATACTTTTACTTATACTTGAGTAATATTTGAAAGTAACATTACTCTTACTTGAATAAAGATTTTGGTGACTCTTCACACTGTGAGTAAGTCTAAAAGTGACAAAAGTTTTATGTTGACAGTAATAACATTGAACATGTATGTTTCTTGCACCGCTCCTTCAGATATGGTTTTGTTTAGTCCTTTAGTCCTTGATAAAGAAGATTTTGTGCATTTTTATTTTGTCTTTCCAAATTGCATTAACTATTTTGACTAGTATCCACCTCTGCCAAAGGATTTAGTATACACAACTTAAACCACATAACATTATCATTGCAACATATTAGGACCATTGTCTTTGTTGATGTCTGTGTGTCTGTGCATACGTCCTCTTAAGGAGACATTCATGAGCTTTTAACATTATTATACTGAGTTTTGAGCTCTGCTTGAACATGCAAAATTTCCCAAACATGTGAAACAAAACACATTTCCGGGTATGTTTTTTATTAAGAAACAAACATCAGTATATCATAAAAGTCTGGTTAGGAAGCAAGGAAGCAGGATTGTCTAAAATCAGATACTATTCCACACGAAAACTAGTATCAAAACTAGATAGGTATCTTTACTAAAAATCCACATTCACACAACAGAAATGAACCTTGAATCTGAATAGTTGTAGAATGATCAGAACAAGATTAATCAATCTTTGGAAAAAAAAAAAGCTAACCAAGCACTGTGATTAACGTATATGTATGTGCTTTCTGCCTATTTTCCTTATGATAGAACTTACTGTTATGTATTGATTGTCGGTGTGATTTCCTGTTAAAATAATGTGTAATGCTTTTATTTTGAAGAGTGGACCCCAGGAAGTGCATTTCCAGAGACTAATAGGGATCCTTAAACAAACAATAAACAACAGAACAAGCACAAGACCACACTATAGGAAGTCACATAAAGTTAAAAAGCTGGACTAAAACTTGGTGGCATTTTGACTAGTCTAATGTCCCTAAATTTTCCTCCTTGTTTTTCTCTGACTGCTTGCACAATGAGTCAGCAGCAGCCACACACACATACATACACACACACACACACACACACTTTCTCTCTCTCTCTCCCCTCTTTCCTCTCACTTTTGGCTTTCTCCCGATTGGCTCGTGATGCACCATAAGCCCTCTCCCTGTTTTTTGCTATTTGTCAGACTCTATCTCTCCCCCACGCCTCTCTCCCTCTCTCTCCGCACTGCAGACAGTCAATGGAGGTGAATGAAGGATAGCTCCAGGACAGAGGAGAGGGGGGAGACGGAGCTGTCAGTTGCCCGTTGGACGTGTGTCTCGCCCGGGCCGCTCGTGTGGACTGCGCATGGGGCTAGATGGACATAAAGGCTTGGGTCACGTGGAGCGGGTCCCGTGTCTTGGTGGATGACGCCTGTTGACATAGATGCTGAGCTGTAAGTGTCAAGCTCTGTCAGGGTCATTGTTATACTGTTCTAAGTAAAGGCTGTGACATTGCGTAATAATATCAGTATGATGTTAGATGTGTTAAAAGGGATGTATTATGTTACTTGAACTTAAATACTTAAAGCTTTTAATGATGTTATAATGGTCTTCCCTCTTCATTAGTTTACTTGGAGTTGTATTTCTGATTGATTCTTGCATGTTTAAAGGCCCTATATTTCACAAAATGGACTCTTGTGAGCTTTAAGACAAGAATTATGCTACCTCATTGAAATCATACCTGGAGTTGTGTTTTGTTTCATTCACTTATGTTTGAATAACCTTTATTATTAGTCTGTCTATATCTCCAAAGCTCAAAATGCTGTGTTCCAAGTTGTGATGTCATGTAGAGGTAGGTTCAAGTTAGAAGCTCCTTTTACCTTTTGTTCAATAGAGATGGGCAATTCCAGGGCTAAAATGATCCAAATGATTCTAGTGAAGGTGTATCGAGTTTAAAGTGGAGCACTTCCTGTATTGACACATGACATCACAAGGTGGAAGTGTTTTCTATTTTGAGAGAAGAGCAACAACTCATATGGAAAATTAAGTATGATTTTTTTTCCATAAACATGACAACAATGCTGATGTATTCTTTATTACAAAAAAAAAACAACAAACATGTTTTAGTTCATGTTTGGTTTATTTGAGTTGACAGTTTCCATGCACTGAGGGAATTCTGGAGGTTCTGGTCTTTCACATGAGGCATGGGCAGTGCATATCCTGAGAATGAGATGATAATTTGTATGTTTTCTCCATCTGCAGGCTAAGGCACTGGCAAAAAATAGTGCCTTTAAGTAATTCTGCTTACTCCTCCTGTTTAATTCTGTCTACTTGTAATTGTTCATTATTATGGGTCAAACATTTAGGGTTGAAAAATATTACATAGCAATTTAGTGAAAATGTGCTGCTTGTTACAGTGAAATGCCACTCTGATGATGAGGAAGGGCTCTTGAGTTCTGTCGTTCTGAACAGGAAGTCAATGGACCAGGCTCTATTACAAAGCCATTATAGATCAATATTGCTGCAGTTTTACAAGAAAGAACAAAATGTAAAATCAGGCTCTACATATATTATAGTTTAACACAAAATACATGTGCTTTCCTTAAGCAACTAAAGATGGCTTTGTTGTTTATTTACACAACAAAATTCTGTTGATATCTGCATTTAAAGTGCTGGTGTAAGCATGTGATTTCAAGTTTGCTGAGCTGGTAACTTCAGCTAGGTCTGTGATAAGATGTAGATACCTTATTTATGAAGTCTTGAGATTTGTTGTTGAGATGTTGCCATGTGTCTGGTAATAAGACAGGTAGGGCAGAAGCATTGTGTCACTGTTTTGAATGCTACACAGTCAATATAATATTCATGTATACATAAAGACATTTGTTTGTATGACCATTAACAGGTGATGGAAAAGAGTTCATACTTCAGTGTGATTGGTTAATTCCATCTGTCATTCTCATAGGCTGACCAATACATTTTATATTGTATTTTATATTGCTATATTAGGCAAAATTTACTCTTGTGAGCTTTTAGACATCTTATATTGCTCTTACCGCCTCAAAAACATACCTGGAGTTGTGATTTGTTTCCTTCACACATGTTTGAATAATCCTTTATTATTATTCTGTCTATGTCTCCAAAACTCAAAATGCTCTGTTCTGCCTTGTGATGTCATGTAGTGGTGGTTTTCAAGTTAACGACTACATTTTACATTTTGTTCAGTAGAAATCGCCAATTCCAGTCCTGAAATCATCCAAATGATTCCAGTGAAGGTGTATGGAGTTTAAAAACACAGGGGAACACAGTCTTTTGGTTTGAGAAGAGACCTCAACACAGCACTAGATATTAAGGGTGTAATGATATCCAAATCTATTATCATGATATGCATCTCACAGTACGATATTTATTGCGATATTTTGGAGAAGCTGATATAATTGTAGATAGGAAACTTTTTTTTCCCTTTTAAAATACCTTGACAAGATTTTGGTGTGAATTAACATATCTTTTCATGTTGTCTGCACTGAAATGAATCATGGGATATGTAGTTCCCGATGTTTATAAGCTGTTACCACTATAAAGCAATGCATTTAAGCAAAGGAACTTGTAACTCGATATATTGTCACAGCCCAAATTATTGTGAGACTTTTGACGATACGATATCACGATATTTCGGTTATTGTTACATCCCTACTAGATACGTTTTTGATGAGGCAATGACGTTATAACAGATCAGAAAATAGCATAATATAGGCACTTTCATTTTATGTCCATATCACACAGCCCCACTTTCATGTCTTCCCACGTGCCTCTGTATACATCTTTAGTGTGGTCTGACGTCTTCACTTCCTGGAGCTCTGACTCTCCCTCCTCTTTACATGTTGATAGTTGAGCTCCTCTGAACAGTGCGTCTGGCTGGTGCGGCTCTGCTTATATAACAGTGTGGTGCTGTACAGTCTAGTAGTGATGATGATGCTGTGATCCTGCATTCAGTCTGCGCTCAGAGGCTGCTACTCCCCTGTTGGGCTCTTGACGCATTTAAACCATTATAAACTTGCCTTATTGATACAGGCAAGTTAGATTTTTTTTCACATTCTGGTAAGTTATAGGGGCTGGAGTAAGAGTGCATGTGCATGATAGAGATTTCTGGATGTTAGAACTATTTCTGTAGAATGTCAAATGTTTATGATTTGACATAATATTAGTTGCATGGCTCAGAATTTTGTGATATTGTGTATTGTCTGAAATTTGAAACTGCACTGTTGTAAAAATGTGCTTAAAGATTGTGTTTTTAAACAGTTTTGAGCTGTTTAGTGTAGGGAAAGCACAACCAGGGGCAGGAGTTGAGAATTATTACTAGTTACACACTCTATGCGTCGCAGCAGCTGCATGCTCTGCCTGTGACTGTCTATGGCTGCATTGTTCCTGTCAAGTAAATAAAAACAATTAAATTATTAATATTAATTTTCCAGATGCAGTTAGAGAAAAAAATGGCAAATACTATATCCTGATAGTTCAATTGGGTGTTTTGTTCATTATAAATCTTGTTGATAACTTAAATTCTACTCTAAAATATACTATGAGGAATAATTATGCAATCAAACATGTATTATTATTTTTTCCTCTCATTTAAGTTTTGTGGGTGAATGATAATTTTATAGTACATTTGCTTTGGCCGCTATGAAAACAGTGTAGTTGAATTCTGTTTTGTACATTGTAGTGAAATTCTACTATAATCCCAGCATGTAATTATGTAAAAGATAAAACAACAGGACTGTGTTGAACTTTCATAAAGATACAAAATGTGATATTTTGTTATTTCTTCTTATTATTATGTATTATGTTTTTTTGTTAAGAGACAGCACATATTAATGAACATTTAAGATGTAAATATGTAAAGACTATAGCCAGTGTTTCCATGGACAGGTTGATGTCAGACCATCACAGGACAGGGATAGTACAGCAACAATCACACAAGGCAAATTTACCACACCAGCACCCTCACTATACATACAACTATAAAGACTGTTCATTTGAAGCTTGAAATTAAAAGTTAAACCAAAAACCCCTCAATATATTAAAAAAAATTTACATGGTGACATATCTGATCCTGCAGTAACCACTATTTTAAAGTTTTAGAAAACCTGATACTTTTTAATGTATATTTTTGAGTTCTACCTTTCAGTCCAGTATGTCGGCACTGACTTTAAATGCAGAATTGAAAGCGGCTGGATCTAAGTTGCTCCCCTCAGGCCTGTGTTGTCACTGCTAACAGTTCCATGACTCATGCTGATTTAGGGCCGCTCGATAGGCGCACAGGAGGAGGACTCTGTTTGGGGAGTACTAGTGTATCATCAATACAGCAGAGTGAAGTTGAAGTAATAATAACACATGATACTTATTCCGGGATGATTGTGATACTGAAATCAAAAGTCTCAATATTTTAAATGGAAGAAAATCAAATGAATCTAATGCATTTTTATATTGGTATGATTCAAATCAAAAGAAACTACAGCAACCATGATCCTTTGCTCCATTTCAGTGCAGCTATTTGAATGAATTAAATCATTTATTCATCCTTTTATTGTTACTGTTCTTTTCAAGCAGTTGGTCCATGTGTTTTGAGTTTGAACATCAGAGTTGTGCAAATGGTGACGTTTGCTTCAAAATTAAAAAGTTATGTGATAGTCATACCAACACTATGCTTTTAACATGAACAAGTAATACTGCTCTCTGTAGCTTTAGCTGAAAACTTTTCTAGAAACTTTTTTTCTTTTCATAAGTGACAGTTTTCTGTTCTTTATAATGTTATGCTATGTTTTTTGGCCCCTCCATAGAACTACAAACATAGACTCTTTCTGATAACTGAATCAAATTGCTGATACAGTCTCAATTTTAAAGCTAGCTGCGACTGTTTTTAGCCTCATTTGAACTTCTTTATCCTACAGTACTGCTGCAGAGAGTGGGGTCTTTTTGAATCCTTGGAAAGAACTGAAATCTAATTAATAATTGTATCTGTAATAATAATTGTTTCAAAATGTAGTCCTAAATTTCTAAACACTGTTTTTTTAAATGTCCTATATTATGCAAAATTGACTCTTGTGAGCTTGAAGTCGTGTTATAATGTTGTTACCTCATCAAAAACGTGCCCAGAGCTTCATTTTGTTTCATCCACACATTTTTGAGTAATCCTTTAATATCTGTCTACATCTCCACAGCTCAAACTGCTCTGTTCCACACTGTGATGTCATGAAGTGGTAGTTTTCAAGTTAACAGCTGCCTTTTACTTTTCAGTAGATCTCGACAATCCCAGAGCTGAAATGATCCAAGTGAAGGTGGATGGAGTTTAAAAACACAGTTCCTGTATTACCAAATGACATCACAAGGTGGCACACAGTGTTTTCAGTTTGAGAGCTCAGCCTAAATCTGCAGGATTTGTGTGTTAAACATGTGAATGAAACAAAACATAACTGCTGGTCTGTTTGTGATGAAGAAACAACATTATAGCATAGATAAGAAAATAGCGTAATATGGGCCCTTTAAATACGGACTTTAATTTGCGTAATCTTATCTGTTCATTCATTAGGTTAGTATTTTCTGCGTAATTTATTTTATACACTACCCAGTTCCTAGTGACATCATATAAACTTGGCTTGACCGTAACTTTATCTTCCCCATTCATATCCCGTCTACTCCAGGAACCGGGGATGTTACGGTACTTGAGACAAAAAACATACAGGAAGAATCTGTGAAGAGAACACTGCACTCCCCAAGGCTAAGCTGGCCTGTTTCTGAGACCCCTTCACAATAAAAGCCCTGACACACTTTACCTGACCACGGGAGCTCTTCTGTTACAGCCTGTACAAAGATGCTGGATACGACGCAGAATCATCCCTAGCTGCAGTACTTTTCCATCAGGTGTAGAGTAAAATATGCTGTGACCTGAAGTACACTGTGTGCTCTGGTGTTCTGTGGTTTGGACATTCTGCTGGGTACTGTTAGTTCTATGCTGTGTATATTTTTATATTTGTCCTTTTATATTATTTCATTGCACAGCTGAAGATGTATTTTTTTAGCTTTATTTGGCTGGACAGTTGTGGTGTGAAATGGGGAGAGAGAGTGTAGAGACATTTAACAAACAGTTGAGGCCGGGAGGTGTACCCATGACTAGAGATTGTCCGATATGTTTTTTTCATGGCTGATGCAGATTATTTAAAATCCAAAGGAGAAGAACCAATGGGTGATGACCTCTGCCGATATATTTGGGCCAATATGTAGAGCCAGTTCATCTACAACATTTTTTTTTTACTACAAACTGTGTAGTGCAGTATAGTCACATTTTTGTAGCACACTCTTTGGACTAAAGTGTTTAAACAAAGCTTCATGCATGTATTTTTCATGCATATTTAGTCTGTTGGTTGGGGCATACAAAATATCACCCTATGCAGGAGATTATGGCTGATCGCCGATACTCTAAAAAGGGCAAATATCTCTAGTACCCATGACCCTAGGTGGCAGCAATCACTTTGCAAAACCTTACCTACACTACCGGCAAGCACAAAGATGTGTTACAATAATTCTGTCTTCTAAAGCAGGCATATTCTGCAAAATTCTTTTTTTAGATCTTTGTTATACTTGCTTCCTCTCACCATTCATTCACTTGATGTTGTACTTGGAGTGATTTGTCCATGTTTGAGCCAGCTTTAATCACTTATTTTCATGTCGCCATTTTGACAATAAATCCCTGTTCCCTGCTCACTGCTCTGTACTATACTGCTCTGTGTATATATAATATAATATGATATAATATAATATAGTTCCATTCCAGTTGCCTATTATGTTAGAAACTCTCATTCTAACATAATGATCCATGGTGTGTCAAAGTTTACAGATATATTGCAAACACAAGGACAATAGGCCTTCTTTAAAAGTAGCTGAGGGAAAATCATATTTGAGTAGAGTCCTGAATATATTAGTGTGTGCTTGTGTGATCCTCAAAGTCTTGAATAGTGCAGAGTGACTACAGCTCCAGCAGTCTGCTCCAGGGAAGTTGTGGCTGTACTGATGTAGTTCACCACCATTGTGTAACTGTGTAAATGAATTCAAATGCTATCATACTCTCAAATTTGTGCTCCTTTTAAGTAACCTATGAATCGTATGAAGACATGGCTGGCCACATTCTTTTGTAAAAACATTAGTCTCAAAATGGAGTTGTACAGTATCATAATTGTATCATAATTTGTGACTGAGGAGAGAGCTGTTTTATAGGGCCCATATTATGCTATTTTCTCTTCTATGTTCTAATGTTGTTTCCTCACGACAAACAGACTTGGAGTTGTGTTTTGTTTCATTCACACATGTTTAACACATAAACCCTGTATATTTCCTGAGTTCTTCTCTCAAACAAAAAACACCTTATGATGTCATGTGGTAATAGAGGAAGTGCTCCACTATGTTTTTAAACTCCATACACCGTCACTTGGATGATTTAGCTGATTTAAGACCTGAATTTGCCTATTTTACTGTACAAAAGCTAAATGGTAGCTGTCAACTTGAAAACTACCACTTCATGACATCATAAGGTGGAACAGAGCATTATGAGCTCTGTAGATGTAGATAGACTAATAATAAAGGGTTATTCAACCATGTGAATGAAACAAAACGCAACTCCAGGTATTTTTTTGAGGAGGTATCAACATTATAACAGGACTTGAAGCTCACAAGTGTCCATTTTGTGTAATATAGGACCTTTATAGTGAAGTATGCATTTGAACCCTAACTTCCCAGATCTCTCTTCCTCTCATGAACCATTTTCCCTTTGCTATATTTCTATCAGGTGCGTCTTTAAGAGCCTGTGTTATGTATGTGTATTCTCCATCATGTGTGACGTGTGCTGATGGCAGAGTGCTTGGTCCAGACTTTCTAATCAAATATTCATCAGTTTAAGAGCCTCTCCTCCCTCTCTCTCTTTCTCCCTCCCTCTCTGTCACTGTGCTGAGCTGATGTTGTGTGGAGCAGCTGTACAAATGCACAAGTCCAGAATCAGCAAGAAGTAAATCAAAGCTACTAAAAGTCTATAGGTCTGCAGTCCACTGGTCCCTAGAGGCAACCAGGAACACTGGCTCTCACTGTGAATGTTACGTCCTTATTTAACCAATACAACCTCAAATACTACTTCTATATGTACACAGTTTACTTTTTCACATCCGTCTTACTGTTATTCACTGCAAGGAATTCGTAAGTGCTTTTCACAACTTTCAGAGACCAGACATCATGGTAAATCTAACAACAACTAGCATGCTAATACTTCAATCTTTAGGAGCAGTTTACTACAATATTTATATACTGGGGACATGTTTTTCACAATACATGGAAAAAATATAACATAGCAAATATAAAAACTTTGCTCTTTTCTCCTCTAAGAATACAGCTGAAACAATAACACCTAGATAAGTGTATATTCTGTTCCTCTAGTGCCCGAAGCATGATTTGTGGGTCTATTTGTGGGTTTGGCTTTTCCTGTCAGGAAGGGACTTTGATCCTTACACCCCGCCGTGACAGAGCAGATGTGACGTGAGATTGAACACACTAAAATGACGACAGCACTCTTTCTATGTTTCCGTCAAACTGCTGAAGCTTATCTTGACATTCCACATAGTGTGTGTTCACACTGCAGCGCATGTGTTCAGTGCTGGCTTTAGTGTTATGAATCCCACCTCTGCCATTTTGCTCAGTGTCTTCTCCAGTTTCACGTTTATACCTGTCCTGTCTAATAAAGCATATGGGTGAAAAATATGTATATATTAAAGGTGTACTATGTAACTTCTGACAGGAGGTCCACCACCTGCATGTCTTCATGGACATATTACTGCTTTGCCTGCAGGTTTACACAGTATAAAATAAAAAGTATCTATCTCCATGGAGACAAGGAAGAGGCACTATCAGGCCAATTTACAGGTCATCTGTGCATATGCATGTCTATTTATGGATACATGTTTTACACCAGTAATTTAATAGATAAGTAAATAGATAATGGTATGGCATTTGCCTTAAATAGATAAGTTAAATGTGATGTTGAGAAACATTCACAGAGAAAGCAATCAGATCCAGATAGGAGACCACAATCAGAAAAGTTACACCTTTAAGCAATCATATCAGATAGTGTCCATAGACCAACCATAGACTGTATAAACAAGTGAACTAAGTGAGTGTGACATCACCCATAGCGTCCGGCTTCACTCAAATGAAGCTTGCAATGCTAGTGGTTACAGGGATGAATTTGGAGCCAGGCTCTATTATGAATTTTTTTTTTGTAGAGAAAATAACGAAATAAAAACACCACAATCACATAGAGCAGGTTAATGAACATTTTAAGACCAAAATGAAGAGTCTCATTGCCGCAGTTACAGAGAGAAGGACCACAATATTCCAATGTAAGTCAATTGGAACCAGGGTCAGTAGGAGCCTGAAGCCCCCACATGCTCACTTCCTATTTGGAACGTGGCAGCTTGCGCGTTAGCTATGTCCATTTACATATACAGTTTACTGTGTCAACATGCTTTTTATTATGAAGACAACATAATACTACTTGAAAAATATGAGACTTAACTTTGATCAAATGTTATTATGCCAATAATGCAGCTAGTTGTCTTTATTAAATCAATATCATCTTAATTTTAGATAAATGGATATGGTTGTTTCTTCCAGGACATTCAAAGTAAAAATGGTTAAAAAAAAAAAGATTCCCATACTCTACACCTGTGCCCCTCACTGCTCTGACTATACTTCCCTCTCTTGTCTTGTGTCTCTACAGGGTGCGTGCTGAGAGTAGGGCACACCCCCGTCCCACTGCTTTAGGATGGCCTCAGAGGGCTCCACTATCCCCAGTCCTGTGGTGCGTCAGATCGACAAACAGTTCCTGATCTGCAGCATATGTCTGGACCGCTACCAGAACCCCAAAGTGCTGCCCTGCCTGCACACCTTCTGTGAGAGGTGAGTGCATCGCCATGGGAACGGGGCACATGCATATACAATGGTTTCAGTGTGATTCCTTCCTGATATAAAGGATTTTGGGAGGACTTTTCACCATTATTTTGATTTGAATTTTCTTATTGGAGGAATGATGAATCCTTTGCCTGAAGTGCATGATGATATAGGGGCTTCTGGCTATATACCATCTCAAACTGAGTTGAAGATACATTTTCTAGACAATTCAATATATTATACATATCAAAAGCATCCAGTGTTTATGTAAAAGAATAATAAAAACCTATTTATTAACCTACTTATTTAGTCAGTTGTTATTTTTTGTAGCAAAAAAATGCTGGGACATTAATCTCACTATTATGTTAGAAAATGTTTGAATTTTACCATACTAAAATTTCAAACACGATTTGAAAAAAAAAAAAAGGTCAAATCAACCGGACAAAAATGACAGGAGAAGAAGGACCTTTCCTGAAAAGCCTTAGAATGATCTTGAGCTGTATCAGAACAAGTATAAGAGCACATAGACTAGTATACGCCCATGGACCACTATGGAACCTACCTGAGGGATTATACTGACATAAGACCACATGGTAATATAAAAGGTACATATGAACTACGATTTAATGCTGAAAATTCAGTTGTTTCATGGAATCAGAATCTGTATTGAGTATCAAAATTGCGTTTGAAGTTTTAATATCATGACAACGCTACTCAAGGCATACATTATCCCATAAAAAAAAAAAAACAGAGAGAAATATCATATTATACCATAATATTATATAACAACATGAAAATATTAATGCTAAATATTGTACATACTTTGATTAGATACTAAATTGCCTGTACTAATGCATGAATAAATACAAATAAAGACAAATCAAATGTATTCTAGTAATAAAAATACTTTTTAAGCCTTTCATACATATTGTACAAATGATGTAAAGTTGTTATTGTTTAAATTGTATTGTTCACCGTTGTACACAGCTCACCTCTGGACTAATTATAAAAAAGCCAGTTTGCAAAGACTACAAGTGGCCTACAATGACGCTTGCTTTTGAGGAGGCCACGATGGACGATGGACGAGTGCGATTGAAATGTTTGTTACTGCATGAGTGAACACTTTGCAAGCTGCACTAAGAATTTTAATGTACAGTTTTATCTGCAGACTGAACAAATCAGACAATGAAATAATAATGTCACTCACAAATCTGAGATTCAGTGCAATACGATATCAGTCCAGTATGTGGAGACACTGGTATGACTGTCTTTTAAAAACATGAATGTTTATTGTTTTGTATTGTCACTAACCTTGTCTGTTTTTAAAATGGACCATGAGTCCGGAATAAAGATGATGATGATGATATTGCTGACCATATCATGTATACATTCCCTTAAATATTCTTGTCCTCTTTGCAGGTGTCTGGCGAACTACATCCCCGCACACAGTCTGACCCTGTCCTGCCCCGTGTGCAGACAGACCTCCATCTTACCCGAGAAGGGAGTGGGTGCTCTGCAGAACAACTTCTTCATCACCAACCTCATGGACGTACTGCAGAGGACCCCCGACAAACACAGCCCACAGGACCCCAGCCTCAGCCCCATCAGCTCTGTGGGGCCGGGCCAGCTGCTGTCCTGCCCCAACCATGGAGGCAGTGTAAGGCCCGCACACATTCTACTCATACTGGGGTTACAGACAGTGGTGGAGTATTTTTTATAAATTTATACTAAATAGATATAAAGTACACATGAAAACAGATAATAAGTTAATTCATTTTTTATGTGTGTATAATATAAAAAAATAAATAAAAGTACTTATTGATCGCAAACCTAGAAGGAAAAGCTGAATGCTGACAGCAAATTGATTGAGCTTTGTCGGTCCACCCAGATTTAATTCCCTGTCATAAACGAAGTCATGAACAATAATGACATTAAATTATTGCTCATAATAATAACTGCACAATTAGTCCCTCTAAATCTCAATTTAAAAAAAAATCTGTATAATGTTTTGGTCAGGTGATGGAATTTTATTGCCCGCCCTGTGAGACGGCCATGTGTCAGGAGTGCACCAGTGGAGAACATGGAGAACATCCCACAGTTCCTCTCAGAGACGTGGTTGAACAGCACAAGGCCTCACTGCAGGACCAGCTCAGTGCTGTCAAGAAGAGGTACCTCTCACACGATTTATACATTTTGTCATTGTAGATGTCCTAGCAAAACATTGTTGAAGTTACAGTTTCTGATTTAAATGTCATCTGTATCGCTACAAAGTTATAATAACACTATTATGTATGGCAAGTCATGTCACAAGGAGTGGAACATAAACTACAAACTCTTGCAATGTAAAAATGTCATACAGTGTTTTGTGAGTGAAAATGTGAATTTGGAAATCTGATTTTTGATATCAATAATTCATTGATTGCCTTATTGAAACCCTCTGTACCCTCTTAGCTTTAAGATTCTGTGCAATGCTCCGCCCACAAGCCTATGTCACCCATACTCCCACACGACAATTCTCCATAAATACATCTTGACAAACCTGATGCAATGTGCAGTAGATTCATTAGTGGAATTCACACTGATTTTGTTGTGATAGGACTCTGAAGAGTGACTTTGCACAGGGAGCAAATGAAGGGGGACTCAGAGTGTGAAGCGAAACTTATAAAACATGTTAATATGTTGTTATTTAGGAATATAGCATTTTCAGAACAATTAAAGGTAGCATGGTGATCAAAATATGTTATGTGTTAACAGTTAATGCTCCATAGAAGTATGAAAGAAGTAGAGAGGAGAAGTAGAAATATGCCCTCTTTAAATAGCAAAAACAAAAGGTCTTTGCCCCCAAATCTGTCAGAGCACTCTTTTTCCAGTCTACAAAAGGTCAAAGAACCAAGTGGGTGTGAATGGGGTTATGGGGTGTTCAGGCAGTAAAAACAGTAGTAAAAACTTTAAAGCTAAAATAGAATTGTAACGCCAAAACAAGTACAACTCTTATTCAACATTATACCCATTATGTGTATACAACTTTGAAATTTTGGCTTTAATTAAATGAAACAAACACAGTCAGAAGACCTAATACTATGACATATTCTTTGTGCTCGTATGCAGACTGCCCGAGATCGACTGTGCTCTACACACCCTGTCAGAGATCCTGCAGCAGCTGACCCAGCAGAAGAGCTCCATCGAGGAGGACATCCACAGCACCTTTGATGAACTGCAGAAGACCCTGAACGTGAGGAAGAGCGTCCTGCTCATGGAGCTTGAGGTCAACTATGGACTCAAGCACAAGGTAATCGCTCAGACTCTAAAGTAGCAAAGACAAATATAGAAATGTTGTACACTAAAAGGCCGCAAGATTAATCGCGGTCGAATCAAAATCTCAATTTGTATTTAAGCAAAGGGCAAAGGCTGTAATGTTGTAAGATTTTTGGACACAGTAGCTTGCACATTACAATATAATATAATAATAAAGAGCAAAAATATAAATGTTAATAATAAATCAAAAATAAGTCAAGTAAGTCAACAACATTGTTTGTATTTTATATTCAAATGCTCTAAGTATCCACCCTTTGCTTTGTTGAGAGTGCTGTAAACCTTTGGCCTTCTCTCAGTGAGCTTCATGATGAAGTCTACTAAAATGGATTTCACTTCACAGCAGCGCCTTATGAGGGTCAAGGAATGCAAAGGGTGCAAAGTTATTTTTAAAAATCAAAAGTTTTGGGTTATTTTGAGTTTCATTTTTGTTTGCTACATTCCATGTGCCATTCATAGTGCTGAGAATTAAAAATGTAAATAGTAATGAAAACAGAGAAGTAACATAAATTAAGTGTGTCCAAACTCATCTCGTGTCCAGACTGGTCAGTAATGATGGCTTCTCAAGTTATCAAGTCAGGTTATTTGAACACTGAACCCTTATTAGTAAGGAATGACTTCAAAAACTGCAGACCTGATTCTCTGCTTGCTCTTCATTGGTGACATTTCACTGTAGCAGGCAGCAGATTTTCATTTACTTATTAATTATTTATTCACATGACCACTCCTTCAGCCATCACTTTCACTGTTGTGTCTGGCTCAGTGGATCATTACCATAAAGAAGGAGGGTGTTCGGAGGTCAGCGAGCCTCCCAAATCTTCTCAACCAATCGGAAAGCCCCGTTTACACCCCGCTACCCCCTAGTCCCGCCCCCGGGAGTGTGTCACATGGGAGCAGAGCTAATCATTCACAATGCACTGTCTACTGCAACTGAACTCACCACTGCTAACACTCCAGGGACAGAACCAGTGCACTTCAGGCGGACTAGGGTGTGTCGGAAATCAGCTTTGCATGTAGGGCATTATGTGATAGTGAGCCTGGGTGTCAAATAGCGCATATGTTTTGCTAAGAGGACAGTTTTGCAGGGAAAGTGGTGTGGAGAAGTAGATGTTGTCATGGCTGCACTTGTTGGAGCTGAGGATGTGGAGGTAGGTTGGGCTTATTTCTTTGGAGACTGGATTTGAAATAACAATTTTAGAGCAGTTTTGCTCCTTAAAACAGAAGTTTATAGTGTAGGGAATCACTGTCACATGATAAGAGTTTATGGATTGTGTAGTCACCTTGGTTATAAAATGATTCATTACTGCAGGTCCAGTGTTTGTACAAGATATAGAAGATCTCACGATAGAATAGAAAGCCACTTTATTTCCTTTATGTCAACTTGTTTTAAGTTAAGTGTACCTATGGTAAGAGCAAACAAGGTGCCAGTGATAGTAAAAGCAGTGGGAGGAAGGCTGCTGGGATTTTCACTTTCAAAATGAATGATTGAATACTGGTAAAATAAAAGTTAAACATATAACAAACAAGCAAAACAATGGCTAAATTCAAGTTTTGTGATGAGAAATGTTCGATTTAGTCATTCAGGTACAACCAGTGCACACAGAACAACACTAAAAAGCAGAATACTACACTATAATCAATAAATAGTATCAATCAGTGCCTTGTTCTTTAACAATAAAATAACTGCAATTTAATAATTGCAAAATTGTAAATTTAACACTTTACTGTGTCAAAGCATTTACATATTTGTTTATTTAAATGAGACAGTGCATATGAATTGGCATGAACCCATGTAAATATGCCAGATTTGGACATAAAAAAATATATCACTGGTAGTCACATTTTTATCTTATACTAGATGGCAAACCATCCTCCCAAAAAGTTACATAATGAACAAAGATATGGAAGATGAGGCTTGGGAAACTCCCAAATGCAGGACAACATAGAACCTCCTGCTCCCAGGGGCACTACATCTAAAACTAGGCTCAGGGATGTGAAAGGCTCTTTCCCCATAAGACAGGGTGGGTCTAGAGCCAGTCATGAGAATCATGAACAGAACAAGCAACTGCAGTCCACCTGAGGCTTGAGAAAAGTAGCCAAAAGACTTTTGCAAAAGAAAAAAGACAGGCAAAAGAGACAGTCTTTTGGTATCTGGTAAGATGTAAAAATATAGACATAAAAACTATAGATACAATGCAATTTTAATGTTACAATACTGTAAACAAATTTCAGTATTCTTGTCTCTTTTGTTCATTTAATGAAAGAACATATTTAACAAACATGATCAATGAATGACAACTTTATTGATTTGGGAAAACTAAAAATTGGAGTTATGCTATTCTTGAATCCATAGTATTTTATGCATGTAGCAGGTTTTGCAAGTACTTTTTTTTTTTCTCATATTCATAAAACATTCTGTTTAAAAAAAGAATAATTGGTAGAAACTTTTAATACTTTTATTTGTTTTGTAAAAACTTAAACTTTTAGTTTTTTAGGCTATAATTTGGTCAGATAGAATTACAGCAATTGGGAAAAAATATGTCAAAAATAAATGGAAAGTGTTTTATTTTTAGGTGATTCATTGGGTATTTTTGTAATTTGAAATTTAAAACATGGATTTATCTATGTAATAATAATATAATAATATATTGATGGAATTTTTGCAAGGGTTGCAAGGGACTACATAACCATATAGTCCTAAAAAATGGCATTATAGCACTAAAAAAATAATGCTTAGTAAACATAATTTTCTCTCTAAAGAAATCACTCTGTCTCCCTCTGCTGTCCATTGCAGGTACTTCAGGCCCAGTTGGATACACTGCTCCGAGGTCAGGAGGGCATCAACAGCAGCTGTAACTTCACTGAACAAGCCCTGAGCCACGGCACTGAGGCTGAGGTCCTGTTGGTCAAAAAACAGATGAGTGAGCGCCTTGTGGAACTGGCCAATCAGGAGCTCCCGTTACAACCCGGAGAAAACGACCAACTGGACTTCATTATAGAAACTGATGGACTCAAAAAATCCATACACAATTTGGGGACTATTCTCACCACTAACGCTGTTGCCTCAGAAACCGTCGCTACTGGGGAGGGACTCAAGCATTGCATAGTCGGAGTGCCCACATCTGTAACTGTAACCACGAAAGATAAGGACGGTGAGCTTTGCAAAATGGGAAACGCGAATATTACAGCCGAAATGTCAACTTCTGATGGATGCAAATGCAACGGAGAAATCGTGGACAATAAAAATGGAACTTATGAGTTTTTGTTCACCGTGCCTAAAGAGGGGACATTTTATTTGTCACTGTGTCTGTACGGGCAGCCTATCAAAGGTAGTCCCTTCAAAATAAAAGCCACTCGGTGTATAGATGTGTCGCCCACCAGTGACGGTGTGAAGAAGAGGCTCAAGTCTCCGGGCAGTGGGCACGTCAAGCAGAAGGCCATCAAGAGGCCAGCCAGCATGTACAGCACAGGTCGCAGGAAGGAGAACCCCATAGAGGATGACCTCATCTTTAGGATAGGTATACTACTTTTAAGTAATATCATGGATTAGTTTTGTCGATTTCATTTCTAAAAATATATAGACAGATGGGGATTAACCACAGAATTTCACAAAACAGGAAAATTCAAGATGGTTTGGGCAAACAAAATATAATCAAGTGATATAAAGGATCCAGTTTAAAGACATTTACAAGTATATTTTACATTATTTGTTTAAAGAGACTTGCCCAAACAAGTCTTTTAACCAAACAAGACTGTAAACATACAACTACCTTGTACGAATGTAGCAACTTGAATACATGTAGTGTATGGATGTGGTGACTGAGAATGAATATGACCAATTTGACTTACTGATTGACTGGATGAATGATGAATGAATAACCTGTCCAGGAACTGAAGGTGGAAATTGGCAATTTTGCTATAAACCTCTGCTGTGTAGGTCATTGTTTTTATTGCATTGTTCCTGATAAATAAAGTAAACTAAATTGTAGACATTGAGCATCTCTGAAGGCAAAATCCAAAATCATAGTTTTATGAAATAAGTAAAAAAAAAAAGTAGTTTTTTTTAAATTTCTCTACGTACATATTACATACTTAACCGGTTGCAAATTATACTTTTTGTGAAACACAAAAGTTTTTGTTTTTTTTCATCCATTTTAATAGAAAAGTTACATTTTGAACCTGGAATTTCAAAATTGCTGTTTTGCATTTACAGGTACATTTGAGGTTAGTTAATCATTTACAGTGTCAGAGTTGAAATTAAACTCTTTTTGGCGTTATTGTCAAGTTCTCTACAACTGAGCCACATTTAATCTCACTGTCTTTGTGTTCTTGGGCAAGACACTCAGCCCACCTTGCCTATATATGTATGTGATCTGTTGAACAAAATCATTTCAAAATGATTTACTTTGTTGAGAAGATACTTTTGTCATCCACATAGTAGTAAAAATATCCTATAAGTTGTAAGTACTGAAGTGTCTGTACTGTGCATTATAGGAACAAAAGGGAGAAACAAAGGAGAGTTCACAAACTTACAGGGAGTGGCAGCGTCCACAGACAAGGTTCTGATCGCAGACAGCAACAACCAATGTGTACAGGTATGAATCTGAGTTCTTTACTGTGCTAATTGTATGAGCGTATATGGTTTAACCTTTAATACATTTCTTTTAGATTTTTTCCAACGAGGGCCAGTTCCGCAGCCGCTTTGGGGTCCGGGGCCGCACTCCCGGTCAACTCCAGAGACCTACAGGGGTCGCTGTGCACCCCAATGGAGACATCATCATCGCAGACTATGACAATAAGTGGGTTAGCATCTTTAACTGTGAGGGCAAGTTCAAGGTGAGGCTCAGTGAGTATTGATCCTTTGCAGCTGATACCATCAACATTCTCTGGGGGTGTGATGCTAACTGTAGGCACTGCTCTTTCTGAAGTTCTGTTAGACTTTAATTTGAAGTTTATTTTAACATAATCTGGCCAGAAAAAGATGACTTACCTGGTAGTACAACAGGTAAGCTGATTTGTACGGTTAAACACGTGCCTCTCACGTAACATTAATCACAAGATAGTTAGTGTCAGCCAACAGGATTGATCATAGGCTCATGAAGATGTGTTGTATAAATCATTTTTTTCTTAGGTGGTCAGATGATCTTAAATGTTTTTCGGCAGTGATAATGAGCATTGTGTCACGATGGTAAATGTTAAACACTCTGCCATAGACATCCTTATACAAAACCCCAGCGTGATGTCACTGCAAAGTGTCAATAGTAGACAATTTACTCATTAATTTGAATGGATATTTGTTATTTGAGTTTGTTTATTACTTTGCTGTGTAGAATAAGATTGGCACAGGAAAGCTGATGGGCCCTAAGGGAGTGTCTGTGGACAGAAATGGACACATCATTGTAGTGGACAACAAGGCCTGCTCCGTCTTCATCTTCCAGCCCAACGGCAAACTGGTCACCAAGTTTGGGAACCGTGGTAACGGGGACAGACAGTTCGCAGGTAAAAATAACTGCTTCCAAACTATTATGTTATAAAAGGCTATACTGTAGGCTTACCTGTTCTGTGGTGTAACATATAATAAAGTAAAGGTATGTGTCTAAAGTATTTTTACTTTTATCTATAGGTCCTCACTTTGCTGCTGTCAACAACAACAATGAAATTATAGTTACAGATTTTCACAACCATTCTGTCAAGGTAAGAGGCATGTCAAACTTAAAAGGATAGGCAACAGGGCTGGGACCCCTTCGAAAACAATATTTTACACTTACAATAACTCATATTCTTTAAATAAACTTTTTTTTTTTACATCTTTATAATGTGTTTTAGGTTTTTAACACAGAGGGAGAGTTTCTCCTAAAGTTCGGCTCAAACGGTGAGGGAAATGGTCAGTTCAACGCTCCAACTGGAGTGGCTGTGGACGCCAATGGCAACATCATTGTGGCAGACTGGGGCAACAGCCGCATACAGGTCAGAGCTAACTGTATGTTGTATGTAATGAGAGCAGTTTTCATTAAAAAAAATTAAAATAGTGGGGCTATACTCAAATGAGAGACTCAAATAAGGCTCATTCTGCTTTCTAATTGGATAATTGTCACAAGAACCCAAACACGAAATTATAACCATGATGTCCAATGTTTTGGTAATTAAGAAGAAATTATAGCATTATAGTTATCACTAAAAGCTTTATTTAACTTGAACATTAAAATCTAAATCTTACATACAGTTCCTTTAAATTCAGTTCACAGTGCATTTTAAACAAAGACAGAGAAAACTCTATAACTGTAGCTGCTGAGCTAACAAAAGAATTGGATGATTTTCAAAATGTTTGTACAGAGACCCTTATATAGATATGTTCGAGAACATATTTTCTTTCTTGTACAGGAAGAGTTACCTGTTTGCAGTTTGCAAATGAAAACTTTTCATATTGTGACTTGATTGTGACTAACAGATCATGAAAGCATTCAACTTGTGACATGTGCTGTGTAAATAAAGAAAATTGATTACATGTAAAACATGCACAGTCATATGTTGTTCGTGTTTCCTTCTTTCCTTTTCCACATTGCTTATTATTTGCAGGTATTTGACGGCAGTGGCTCATTCCTGTCCTACATAAACACATGTGCAGACCCTCTGTACGGACCCCAGGGGCTGGCTCTCACCTCCGATGGACACGTTGTGGTGGCTGACTCCGGGAACCACTGCTTCAAAGTGTACCGCTACCTGCAGTAACTCCCCCTCTTCTCTCCTCTGCACTCACTCAAACTCAGATGGGAGGACAGGAGGACACTGGACTAAACTACAAACATGGCCGGCCTGCACTTGACCCGCTCCATCCCCGAACCACACCGTCATTGTGCCATCTGTCGACCCTGTGAAGACAAAGCCACTTCATGATTTATGGGAGATATTCAAAAGACTTCTGCTGATTGGTGCTTGGAGGAGACACTGGTCTACACATTATATTTCACATTACTGACACTGAGGATCATGGGAAAGGGTTTCTTCTTAATTAGTCTTTTAACTGTGTTATATTAATAATTTGAAATAATATTTAAAGCAACACTGTAGCTTTTTTTTTTAAAATAAAACCTGAAACAAAAACAGTCATGAAAACATACTGTATCATGCTACCATTCACATTATCTTCATATAAATGAATAGTAATGCAATAATAATGCTCAGAGTCACTTTACATTTCGTGCAGTATTCATTCACTTTACACTTGGTGGTGGTAAGCTACTATTGTACTGGAAATGTCCGCTAGCGGCCCCCACCAATACTCGGACGCAGAATACATTACAAGGCAATGTGTAACATGTCAAAATAATGCTTTGAATTGTTGATAGATTTGGTAACTAGGTTAATACTAACAGTGTTTCTGGTCGCTCAAGGAAGGGCATATGACAGAGGATTTGGCCAAATAACAATACGAGTGATTTTCTGTGCTGAAACTAGGGAATAGGGAGTAGTTAACATTACATAACATTTGCTACCCGTTACTCTCCTGTAATCCAGTATACAGTGTTGCTTTAAATTGTATTGAGTAGATTTCTGTAATTGGAGCATCCTATGGATATTTCACCTTCCTTATGTAAGGTCAAGCATGATATAGTCCTCTATTGCATGTATGTCCTGTTGAATGAATTTTTTAATAGATCATCACCAAAAGACAAATAAGTAAACACCTAAACTATTGTCTATATAGTAATAATACTTTCCAAAACTGGGTAAATGTTATAACATGCATCATTAGGATTCTTTACAAAAAATTAAAATATGGATAAGTACAATAAGTACAATAAATGACAGTATATGTATGAATATTCCAGAAGATTAAAGACGCACTTTGGACCTAAATAATATAATAGTCATACAGTTAAAAATGTTTATTGTTTTTCACTTGTACTGTTTATTGGCTTGCCAGTTTGTTTCTCCCAAGCACACGTTTTATTTTCTACATAAATGTTTAAATTATTTCTTTTACATTGTCTTGCTATCTGTATTGCCAAATGGAATTAAAGTGCCCATCTAAACTAATGTTAAACATGTCTGATGTATTTGTTTATTTATTTACCGTCATCTCACTTTATCACACAACGTTTGTTTTTTTTTTTCCTTATCACCCGTAATTATTCATAAATCTGATATATGCAAACTCAAGGACAAAGTTGTGATGTTTATATGAAACAGCAGATGGCGCCTAAAATCCTTAGCTTTTGTTTTCATCCCTGTGTGGCTTTCAATCAACTGGGAAATTATACCGCCTCACTGAGAACGCTTAATACAAAATACGTTTCTTATTAATAAAATATTTAAATTGTGAGGGCTATTAAATATGTATGGAATGAATGGGTATATGAACCTGTATAGTATTAGTGATTATTGTACTTTCGTAATAACTAATGAGTCATTCCTAAACATTTAGAAAAAAACACATTGTTGGGTTGGTCCGTGAACGCGCCGACCATGTGGCTGCTAGTTTCGCGGGAATTTCAGTGTAGTGCCTGATTTCCGCTAAGGCTTTCAACAACAAAACATTTTCCTGGGATTTCAGGTCTAAAAATTACCCTTTTGTCTCTGGGCTGTACCAGTAGCCAGCGATAACATGGTGAGTATATGATGTGCGTTAGATGAATCTGTAAAAATAATTATATGAAAAGCAATGTTGTTGTTTACACTGTAGGGCTCCCATTCTCGGTTGAATTATTGACGTAAGATCACGTTTAGGCTTAACTAATTTAGGGTGACCAGACGTTCCTATTTACCCGGGACAGTCCCAATTTTGAGCCCTGTGTCCCCTCTCCCAGCAGATTTATCCAATACCATTGATCTGTCCCAGGTTTATACAAGAAATGACTCAGGTGTCCCTATTTTTGGCCAATTTAATCCCTGCCAACAGTGAAGAGAGGCATATTCTGTCATTTGTTTAGGTAAAATACAGAAATGCTGCATAAAAATGACCAAAACACAAAGAAAATGTGGCTATACTGACTCACATGTTAATCGTAAATAAGTTATGAATGGTCCGAGTGTATAACTTTTTTTTTCTTAATTACCTGCCCCTTTCCCTATTTTATTATTACCAGCCACCACAAACCGGGGGTGTCCCAGTTTTTGATACTGAAAATCTGGTCTCCCTAAACTAATTCACAAGTGACAAGTGACTGAAACCAAGATCTCAACATGTTATCGTATTCATTATTTGTTTACTTAGTTGGTCTAGGCATGGACAGACTTATTAAAAGATGAAGAACATATATTGGACTGTCGATGGTGAGGTGTCTTGCCCAAGGACAGGTAGTTGTCGGAGATGGGATGGAAGAGGCAACCTTTGGGGTAGATGGGTATAGACTAGAGTAATTCGAAAAGTAAATTTTAATAGAAGAAAATAGCTCTCCAATGCTTCAGATAAGTTTTAAAGGTGCACTATGTAACAGTTTATTTTTGCTCAGCCTTGCTTGGAATATTTCACAGTATGGCATTAAACATATCTATCTTCATGGAGACAATCTGGTGATGCCATAAGGTCTAATTACATTTCAGATCTGTGATCCCGCTCACAGCAAGACAAATGACAAAAAGATTAAAAAAATAAATAAATACCTGTAATTTAAAGAAAGAATAGTTACAGTACATAACAGCATGCATTTCAAAATTTATTACAAATGTATTATGTTGTGAATTACAATAATAGCTTATTATTGCATTAAAAACGAAAAGACACTTCAGTAGATAGAGTACTGAATAAATATAGACTTACTTATATTCAACTCCAGGTGTATTTATATTGATTTATTTATGTTTATTTGAATGGGGACAATTAATATATGACTTTACATAACAATAAACTTGCTCTAAGATTCATAAGGATTTATACAATATGACAAGAATAAAAAATAACATAAACAACAGAATAATTAATTGAAGGTACAAATGTGGTAGGTCTATTACTTTATTCTAATCAAATATTTATGTTAAAGTCAAAGAAGAAAGGACTGAGCTTGGAGGAGAAGAGGACTCGCATGCTGGAGATTTTCTTTGAATCAGTAAGTTGAGTTCCACAAAAAAGCAATAGCCTGTAAATAATAATTGTCCTGCACATTTTCTTAAAGTAAATTATAAAAAATTTGAACATGCTGGTGAATATATGTGTGTGTGTGTTTTTTTTTTTTTTTTAGAAAGATGTATTCCAGCTGAAGGACATTGAGAAAATTGCACCAAAGTCAAAAGGCATCAGTGAGTATTCACCTGAGAAAACTCATTGGTAAAAACTAGTTGAGGCCATGTTGTCCCATGGTTCCTCATCAGAAACATGCCTGAAGAGGTTTTAGATGTGCATGTTTGAGTATTTTAGTGATCTCTCCTGGGCACTATTTGAACCCTCCTTAAGGTTAGCTGTGAGATTCTGTCCAAGTCTCAGACCACAAGACTACGTCACCCATGCTCCCACAGGACAATTCTCCTTAAATATACAAAAACATGATACAAAACTGTACACAGCGATTTGACAAATTTGATGCGATGTGTAGTAGTTTCATTAGTGGGTTGCACACTGATTGTGTTGTGATGCCACTCTGAAGGGGGAGTGACTTAACGCAGAGAGCAACGTGAGAAAAATGGAAGTGTAACTTATGTTAATACATTGTTTTCAGCAAAGATAGTATTTTCAAAACAATAAAAGGGAACAGTGATTTAAATATGTTATGTGATAGTCTAGACATGGACAGAGTTATTAAAAGAAGTAAAATACCCCGTCTTTAACATTGAGGCTGCCATGTTGACTTACCCTAATGATTATTTAAGAGGTATTATGAAAAATTTTCATTTGTACTACTTTGGTGTAAGTAAGTAAGACTTTATTTATAGAGCACTTTCACAGATAAAAAAAAATCACCAAGTGCTTTACAGAGTGCAATAAAGGACATGTACACGAACAGAGGAATTACAGACACAGTCTACCAAAAGCTGGTCTAAATGGCAGTGCTTAAATGTGAATGCATTAAAACAAGTAAAAAGAGAACTGTAAAAATCTAAACGAGATTAAATAAAAGAGTGAACAGTCATTTCAAGATCAGCATTTGATAAAATTGGTCTTAGTCTAGTGATGTTCTATAAATGGTAAAAACGTTTTTACCATTTATGGAAAGGTTTTTACCTGTTTACCAGTTTTTTACCACTTGTCTGCAGTGACCCTCCAAAGACACTGACTTGTCCAACAGCTCTTCAAGATTTCTGACATTGGACTGGACTGAGTGGTTCAGTGAGCTAAGGTCATCCTTAAGTCAAGGACTTTTTTCATCTGGTGCCAGAATAAGAGTTTTAGTTTTTTCATCATTAAGTTGCAAAAAGTTTTCAGTAAACCATTTTTTAATGCAAGAGAAGCACTGCAGAAGAGTTTTGAGCCTTTCTGTCTCTGTTTCTGTAAAAGAACAAGACAACTGTATGTCATCAGCATACAAATGATATGATACATACGTGAAACAATTCACAATTTGACCAATCAGAAATATGTACATCAGACAAAAGAAGTGGCCTCAGGATTGACCCTTGTGGGATCCCACAGGTCAAGGGTGACACTTCAGACAGGACATTATTGATACTAAAAGAAAAGGATCTATCAGTCAAATAAGAGGAAAACCAATGCAGGGCTGTCCCACTGACTCCAAAGTCTTTGTGCAAACGATGCAATAACATTTTGCTATATCAAAAGCTGATGTCAGGTCTAACAAAACCAACACTGTATAATGGCCAGAGTCCACTGCCGTCAGAATATCATTTGAGACTTTTAGAAGTGCAGTTTCTGTGGAATGCCTACTGCAAAAACCTGACTAGAATTTATAAAATAAGTTATTTCCATGCAAGAAGTCTGTTAACTGTAACTACCTTTTCCATTATTTTAGATAAAAGAGGCAATTTTGATATTAGGCTGTAGTTTTTGAGCTCAGACTGATTCAATTTTGGCTTCTTCAAAATAGGACTAAGCACAGTGTGTTTGAAGGAGTGAGGAACCAAGCCTGTTTCAAGAGACATGTTCACCATTTTAGAAACATGTGGCCCAAAAAGATCGAAAGCCTTTGCAAACAGTGAATGTGGCCCCACATCTAGAGGGCATGAGGCTGTTCATTATGCCTATGACATCCTCAAGACTAACAAAGGAAAAAGAAGACCAACAACAACTGTGACTTATGTCGTAGGAACAGGCCCCAGTCACAGGTGCTATGCTAGCCCTAATAGTGTCCACAGTATTTACAAAGAACTGTAAGAATTTATCACAGTCATTCTTTATATGAACAGGGATTTGTGGTGCTGAAGGCGAAATGATTTTCTCGATAGTAACAAACAGGATCTTTGGATTTTTCCTGTTCATTGACACAAGGTTGGAAAAATAATCAGTTCTAGCTTTGTTTATCATTTCATTGTGATTGTCATGTTATGAGTATCTCCTTTAAAGTGAAGTCTATGAACTTCAGGATTTGTAGTTTTGTAGGTTTCATTTGATAAGACAGATAGTTCAAGAGTTGGTAAAGTGCACGAACCCTCATTGATTTAAGTTCTCAAAAATGGCCTGAAACTGAATGAACTCATTAACTTCTTAGACGTAGAAATTATACAATTATTTTTAACCAAATCAATCAACAAATACCATTTTGTGCTTCGTGAATACACTGCGATATGAAGCAATAGTGAAAATATACTCCCATAGCTATTTTCATTGCTGTATTTTGTACAGTGGACCCTCTTTTAGTATGGCCCAGTTATGCCTTCAGACTGGAAAGTTGGAGAGTAGCGAGAAGGAGCATTCACATTTGAAAGAAAACTGAAATATGAACTGATAAACAAATACAAGAATGCCATACATTTCAGATCATGTTTGTAGCGATCTAAACTACAGATATAACAAGATTATTCAAAAGACAGGCTCATTTGTTTTTTGCAGAGGACATTCTATTATCAAATACAATGGCTCTCAAACTTTTCATGCCAAGTACCAACAAAGAAAAGCTTTTGCTTTCCAAGTACTACCAGGTCTAAATCAAGTATATGACGGGGCTATTCCAGGTCTAATCTAGGTCTAAAAGTGGACTACATCATTGCCACCATAGCACTAAACAAGAAATGATCCAAAGGAGGACATAAAAGTGGTTAAAATGGACTAAAGTTAGGCAAACCCACATAACCAAGAGCTGTCCATGTACCACCTGAAAGAGCTTTATGCTATGTTATAATCGTGCCAACTCAAATTGAAATTTCGATTCAGTTATGCAGCCCAACTTACCTTACCTTACCTTATATTTTTGACCTGTATAAATACATCAACAAGCTTGTTTTATAGCTTTGAGGAACATTTAATTTCAAGAGTGTGTTTTAGGTCATACTTTATTCTCATGTCTGCAGCTCAGAATATTATGTATCTTAAAAAAATACAAAACCAGTGCATTTTTGGGTGAACTGTGCCTAAATGAGGTGATTGTGTGACAGTGATTTAAAGCACATGTTTTTGGTCCTGTATAGGACATAATGCAGTTACACAGGAGGGGGAGGGGGCGCTAGAAACGAATTCCTAGCACAACAAGAACAGCCTGAAGTGACTTATATAAGGCATCACAAACGTGACACACACATGCATATTTAAAGGTGCACTTGTCACTTTTCTTGTGGAAGGCCCGCCCTTGTTTGTCTCAAAAGAGATGTTGTTGCTTTTCCTGGAATAGCAAAAGAAAATAGATCTTACCTGAATAGACATTTTCCTGGAATGTTCCAAAGTATGGCATTAGACTTAATTATCTTGTGTTTTATTTTATTACGGGTGAATAATAAATACTTTAAATAAACACTTTCTCACAGTAAGTTGTGTCACCTCTACCCAGATCTGATCTCAGAAAAAATATATATCTATAAAACTATTATCTAATTAACTATTATCAAATAAGAGCATGCATAAAAAATATGGTCTTCAATAAAAACGTATCGTCGTCTCTATAGAAATAGATAAGTTAAATGCTTTAATGTGAAGCATTGTTGACAAAGCATTAACATCTCCATGGAAATAAGCAATAACATCTCCATGGCAAACCGTCCACCAGAAAAGAGTGTATGTGCACATGGATATAGCTAACCTGCTATTTCACTGCCAATTCGCCTTGTACTGAGAAAACGTTGCCCCTCTCTATAACTGCTGCTGTCAGACTCCTCATTTTGGACTTAAAATGTTCATATTAACATGCTCTACATGATCCTTATAATTGTATTTCGCTATTTTGTCTGTAAATCAATTCCTAATATGGAACTCTGCTCCAAATTTGCACCATAAATGCTAGCCTTGGTGAGCTTAATTTGACTGGAGACGAACGCTATGGGTGACCTCACACTCCCTTAGTCCACTTCTTTGTACAGACTATGGTTTAAATAAGGCGTGCAGAATAGTTGTTGTTCATAAGCGCAGATGTGTTTTGACTGTGGCCCAGGCTCTCACACATGTAGGAGTATCACGTTTCAGTGCTGACATGGTTGGAGATATGACTCCCGCTCTGATACATTAGAGCTTTGAGGGCTCTCTGAAGCTGCCAGATACACTGCAGATGTGTGGGATCAACCATGCAACTGAAATAGTCTGCTAAAAGTGCACACTCACTTACACAAGTCCTCCTCTGGGGTAGTAATGCTCACTTGAAAGCATCATAGTCAATAGATGGAATACAAGTTGTAGAGAAATTCAAGTTATTATGTAAGTGCTTTTTTTTTTTTTTTTCAAATATTTGATCAATTTATGTCCTCAGATACAAACATACAGCACATGATGAAATACAAATTTTACTGTTGACAATTGCGATATTGCTTAATTAACATTTTACACAATTTGGTTCTCAAATGAATTATTCAAACTGAAAGAAAAATATAAGTTCTTGCTCTAATTAAATTTTTTTGCCTATAAACCAGGTATATATATATATATATATATATATATATATAAATATATATATATATATATATATATATATATATATATATTACATTATATTAAAATATATTATGTGTGTGTGTGTGCGTGTGCGTGTGCGTGTGCGTGTGTGTGTGTGTATATATATATGATTTGATGTGTCCTGGGTATATAAGAGCAAGTGTTGCCACAGTGCTAGGATTTCAAACTCCATTTTGATACTAAGGAATAGACTCGATACACACTACCGATTCCCTCATTCAGGTAGGTTCCATAGTGGCCCATGGGCGTCTTATACAGCTTAAGATTATTCTAAAGCTCTTCAGGAAAGATTCATTTCTGTCCAGTGACTATAACTTTTTTAGTAGGGATGCATCAAATCCAGCTTTTTCAGTTTCAAAACCGATTTTGATACTAGCTTTTAAGTATCTGCAGATACATGGTTACAAATGATAGCAGGGCAGAGATTGAAAGCAACATTTATATCTTTTAAACAAAAATAAACTGATCCAAATGTGTTATGTAGCTGTTGTTTATCTTTCAAGTAACTACAGAACAGCTTTGTATAAATGAAAATGCTAACATTAAGAGACTTTCTGGGTCAACTATGACCAGTAAATTCAATCAGTAAATAGTTTTAATACATGAGTTTATATATTGAACCATTATATATTATACTATAGGCTGCTATTCAGTCCTGTAAATTTTTCATTATGTGTGCCAATATTCGACACCAGTGTCGAATCGGTGCATCCTTTTTTTTTGTGTTCAATTTGCTTAAAGGTGCACGCTTGTCCCCAAGGAGATATTACTGCTTTGCCTTGATTATTCTGCAGTATGGAAATAAAATTGGTTATCACAATGGAGACAGGTTAATGGTCAGATCTATGGAAAAGCAAGCCTGCACATGGTAAGAATTCATGTTTTATGGTATTTTTGAGCCATAACTCTCTTGTACTTGAACATATGCAAGGGAGATATGTTTAATGCCCTACCATGGAACATTCCACCGAAAGAAATAACATCTCCATGGAGACAAGCAAGTAGCAGACCCACCACCTTAGAAGTTACACAGTTCACCTTTTAAATAAGTATGTAGTTTCGATAGTGTTAGTATAGATTACTCAGATTTTTGATACTTTTGACAACCCTAGCACTGAATAAGAAGTAGTTTAGTCATGTAATGCATCATATGTGTTGTGCAGCTCCCATGGCAGTGAAGGAGGTGCTGCAGAGCCTGGTAGATGACAACATGGTGGACTGTGAACGAGTGGGGACCTCCAACTACTACTGGTCCTTTCCCAGTAAAGCCCTGAACACTCGGAAACACAAGCTGGAAGAGCTCAAGAGACAGGTGAGGGACACAGGATCAGATAGTTTAACACTGCACTTGTCCACAGTGTGGGAGATGTATATAGTTGCATTTAATATGATGTAGAAGATATCCTTTCTTTTGAGATAAAGTTTAGTCAGTTATTATTATTATTTTATTTTATTTTATTTTTTTGGACACTGAAATATATCTGGTGTGGCCCATCTGTCTCAAAGATGTTGACTGAATTTCACTTGAAAGGTCACCATTCATCAAAATAACTGATACTGCTGCTTTGCCCTACTCACACAAGGTACAAGTTAAGGCAGTGTCAGTCCTATTTGAGCTCGTTTAGGTTAACATTTCAATATCCATAGAAAGTTGCAGGCTGTTATAACTACATGTATCTCAGTTTGTAAATAAAGACTGTAAAGACTGTATATTCAAACAGAAGCATTAGTACTGTACTGTGCTGTTGACCCAGTTGGTTGTTGTGCGGGAGACAGATGGCTATGACTCCTGGAGGACATGGCCACCAGATTTCTGGACCAGCTCAATTGTGTACAGGGACAGTCTGCTAAAGCTTGTGAAACAGTGGCTGTGTTTACATTGCATTCACACTAAGTTCTGATCATTATCTCATTTCAGAAGAAGGGGAGATTATTGAAATGTCATGTAAAACTCATATCTGATCTGAGTAATCTGATTTATTTGATTGTTCACACCAGTACAAGGATATTTTGCAAGATAATTTGGCAAAAAAAAAAATGAAAAAAATTAAGGAGATATTTTAAAATGCATTGTACCATTGATTAAAGTTTATGCTAAATTGACTCATGAATTTTAAGACACATCAAACACATCAAAAACATATCTGGACTTGTGTTTTGTTTCATTCACCCATATTTGAGTAAGACTTTATTATTAAGCTGTCTGCATCTCTAAAGCTGGAGATGTAGGTGGAATATTGTTTTCTTTTTGAGAGAAGAAGTCAGCTTAAATATGCATGTTTTTTGTGTTAAACAAGTGTTTAATGAAACAAAACACAACTCCAGGTCTGTTTGTGATCAGGAAGCATTGTAACATGTTATATGAGCCCTTTTAATAGACACATGTCACCAGGTGTTGATGCTCAGATTTCTGTTGTCAGTGTAAACACACACTGAAAATCAGATGGAATAATTGGGTTATTTCACCATTCTAGTTAATAGATTTTTACTGGCCAATGGACCCAGTGACTTTATCCCATAATCTTTTAAGTTAACCAAGTTGATCATTCCTTTGCATTTTCAGATTTCAGAATCGAAGCAGAGGAAGGAGACGCTACAAAAAGCAGTGGAAGCTGCAAAAGTGGGACGTGAAGATACTGTGAGTATTTGTAAGACACTAATCAGACTTGACATTACAACTCAGAACTGTAGAAGCAGCTTGGATGAGCTGTGAAAAATATTCAGTCAAAAAAACTTTAGTCAAGTTGACAGAATTGAATTTCTCCTTAGCCATGGATCCTGCCTGGACAACTGAGGAATTTCACAAACCCAATAAAGTTAGAGGAACCATAGAATAGAATAGAATAGAAGCATAGACAAATATTAATGATGAATTTATTAGAAAGATTGGGGAAAAAAAGAAAAAAAAATCACACATTTGTAGGCTTATTGTTGAACATGGACATTAGAAAAAGATTAAATGCAAAATGAATGAGTAGAATTTGTGTGAGAGTGAGACACTCAGAACATGGGTACTGGTACTGGATGTCTGTTATTAAAAGTTACCATGGCAATTATTCCTCTAGTTTTAATTATATCTCATTATTACCTACTCTGGCATTTCTAAGTGTATATATTGAGGAACTGTTGTGTCTTGGTGCAGAATAAAAGGAGCGTCCTGCTGAAGGAGCTCGAGGGTCTCAGAGGGGAGAGCACTGAACTGCAGGCTGAGCTGGACAAGTACAGAGAATGTGACCCAGAAGTTGTCCAAGAAATGAGTGAGTTCACCTCCACTGCATCCCTGCCTCGCATGTCACCATAAGGCTATGCAGTAAAAAAGGTGCTGTATCTGATTCTTACTGCAAGTCGGGTCTGAGTCGGTTACTTGCAGATTGCCTTTTACACTAACTATGACAACTCCGGTGTGTATTTGACCAATGCAACATGATTTCATGTATGTTCACGTAGGTTCATCCAATAACACTTCTTGCAGATTCTTTCCACAGACCCATGCCTCACCTGCACCCGTGACCCTACTCCGCCAAGGTCACTGTGACAGGGTGCACTGATTTGAAACACTTTTAAGTCTTTAGGACTGCAAGCGCAGTGTGAGACCCGAACCGCACTACACAGTCAGTGTCCACCCAGCATTAAAAACATGAACAATTAGTACATTTTAAACGGTTTGTAGTCCAAAGTTATTCCGCACACAATCTAAGCATTTGGATTATTCTTTTACCACTTTATTACATGAAAAAATGGGTACAAAGTAAATGCACTATTTCAACTGATAAAAACATAAACTAAAGTGATAGTACACTATGAAGCATTTTAGTCAAAATACTTTAATCTAAGTGTTGATTTATTGTATGCTGAGAAAATGAACACTGGTTTCAACATCATTACAACCAAACTTGGGCAATGACATTTCTTTGATTCTATTTATACAGCATCATTTTTACAGAACTACTGAAGCAGTTCTCTGTTGCTTTGAGTACACACTCCTGTTATATCACAGGGTCAGTGTTCTCACAGTTGACATGAAACGTGAAGAGGAAGTGAAAGGCTCTCAAATACCACATCACCACAGCTTAGTCTTCTCATTATTCTCAACTGCATCTTTCAGTGTTTCTGCTTTATATGAGGGTTTCATCTACACCCACGTTGGAGATGACTGCATTGGAAAAAGTGGTGTGGACTGGTGCAACACGTGCTGTCATAATATCTGCACTGTTTACCTGAGCTCTTGCATGCTCCAACACACATACACTCTAATAAGGGAGCATTGTCTGTGGGCTGTTGCCTGGATACACTTATATGAATCCCTCATTAAGGTTGTAGTGTCTCCTATAAAAAAGCGTTAAAACTTGATATTTCTGTGATAAGGTGGAGCGAGAAGTGCATATTATGTGATTTAGGACCGAAAAAACAAATTAGATTTATCGCAAATCATCAGTGATTGAATAATCAACTAATAGAATTGAATGACCAAAATAAACACTACCAAATATGTTATGCCCTGAGAGGACAAGGTTTGACATTTTTGAAGTACATTCAGTTCATATGACCACAAGCGGCGTAACTTTAAAGATGCACTACGCAACTTTTCTGGTGAGGGGATCCACCACATGCAGCCACCAGCTTTACTATGAGCTAATCTATCCTAAGACTTGGCCTAGTAGTCTTTCTCTGTCTTATTCTGGCAAAACATTGTCATGAAGACAAGCAGGTGGCTGACCCTCCACTGGAAAGGTATAAAACAATCTCAATGCCATATTAATTAATGGATCCTAAAATTATCTAATTTTTGCTCATTGCATGCCATCTGTAAACTTGGTTGATTCATGTCATATCACACATGTTAAGGGAGATCATATTATGTTCTTCTCAATTAGTTGAAACTTGTTATTAAAGACTGTGATTCAATGCTACATGTGAGTATTTAGTAAGGCAGCGTTCATATGGTTGTATTCATTGTAATTTGGTCCTGATTTGGTTCTGGTTTGGCCCAAGTTTAGTCTTGATGTAGACCTGGCTTTGACTAGTTTTTAGTACTCATTTAGGGTGTGTTCACACTTGGTCCGGTCCTGGTCCGGTTCTGCTCTGGTCCCAGTTTGAGTCCTAATGTAGACTTGGTTTTGTTCTATTCAGTCCCATTTGTGATATAGTGATTGTACAAGTGTGGACACATCTTTCGCCCTGGTCTAGTCCTGGTTTAGTTTTGGGTTTAGAAGACTGAACATGACCTAAATGCCACAGATAATTTTATCCAGTAATTGCCTATACAACAAATCACATTTAGTTGTCAACTGTCAAGTAGTGTTAGCTGTGGTACAGTACTTTAGCTGAAACAATATTATCTTATGTATTTGGCAATTAGCACTTTTCTTAGGGGACAAGGGCCTATGATTAATTGTGTGATGTACGGTACTTTTAAACATGTCTTGACTCATTCACCACGCACAGACCTATTGAACATGTCCATGTGCTGCAGTGGCCCCGGGCTCTGTGCATTGCTACAGCACTATTATTTTGGATTTGAGAGCAGCTAACAGTTGTGTCAGCTGTGTGGGTGTGTTCTGTTGTAGAAAATGGAAAATAAAGCAGCATCGTGTGTGTGTGAAAGTGAAGACCTCCAGCAGCAGGATACAGCCTGTTTGTGCCACTCTGTTTTACTTTTGTTATCTTCTCTGTATGTGGAATGTAAGCTATTGTGATTACATTGTATTGTATAAGTTATCCCATCATGCTTTACAGTACAAGTCTGTTCAAGCTTCAGAAGAGCGATACCACATGATTTTAGAAGAGATCAGTTTTTAAAAAGTAGTATCTAAAACTGGTACAAAAATCTGTTGGTTCTGAAACAGTGCTATTAAGAATTAGTAGACATTTAAAACCCTAATACACTATAATGAAATAAGAGTAAGCAATTGCATCCTGTAATATGCACGTTATCATATTTACTAGACTACATGTATTTTTGAGCAATAAAAACAGCCATAATTGCATCGTATATAAGTTTAATACCATCTGGTGGAACATTACAGGCAAAGCAATAGCATCTCCATGTCAGTGGACCCCCAACCTGAAAGGTTTCGCAGTGTACCAAGTATTGTGGGGTACCAAAAAATCAACAGCAACCAACCCACAGAGAGATTAATTGCTTTGTAACTTGTATTGCATATTAATGATCTAATGCTTTACAGGACAGTCCATAAATTTAGTCATAAATGTGTCACTATTAATACACTGGCAAAAGGTTAATTGCGCTCTTCATATTCCACCAGGTGACTTTTAATGTTGTTAGCTGTAGTCTCACGGGTCAGCAGACTTGTCACCCAAGACAGGTCCTGGTTGTAGCAGCGAGCGTGGCCCAAGATCAAGTTTCTCCCCGAGCTCCACTCAAGCGTTTGACCTACAGTATACAGCTACACACCACACCGCAGGTTTTATAATGTCACTGCACTCCGCTATACATCTGTGTTCAATGGGCCTGTTTTTGTTGGCATTAAATAAGCAGCTAATATTTTAAAGCTGACCTATTGTGCAAAATCAACTTTTTAGAGCTTTTAACCATGTTAGTTTTTTTGAGGTTCTCATTTTCCCTCTCCAAATTCCATTTAACGTGATTCATGCAAGTTTGAGTAATCTTTATTCTCCTGTATTCAAGACTTCATTGCTCTGATCAACCCCCATTTTCACCGCAACTGGTACACACCCACTGTTCTTGTGACTATCTAACACCTAATCCCTTAACTAAGTGGTTACTAAAATTAAGATGATATCCTAACTAGGGTTGTAGGCCTTTAATCCTTTTTGTCTGTTATTTATTTTGTGCAGTTATGTATTTTAGCGTAATTTCTTTTCTCTTTTCCTTTCCAGAGAAATCAAACGTGGTAGCCAAAGAAGCAGTCTCCAGATGGACAGGTGCGTCATTAATTCATTGTGAAGCGAAAGCCTCAAGTTTGTGCACAAATGTTCCCGCCTGCTAGCTCCGTGCAATTAGCACACAGCACGCTTCTGTGCTCCACCTGACCCCGGCCCGTAACCTAGGCAACGGGTGACCTTTAGAGATAATGATGGGTAAAGATGCTGGCTGGATGTGCACTATTAGGTCAACATTGTCTGGTGCAGGTTAGCAAAGATGACTGTTTACATTTTTGCTCGGTAATTTGAAGTCATTGAAGCTTAAGCGTTTACTCCACTGCAGTAAAAAAGGTTCAATTGATATATTATAGTAGTCAATTAAAAATCTGAATCTTAACATGCATTTAGTGAGTGTTGTAGTTATTCACGATCTAAAATAGGTATATCTTTAAATTGTTTTTCTCTTGGGGACTCTCTCCATTTATAGCATGCAGGTGTTGCTGTAAAAATACCCCAAAACACCTTGAAAAACTTGGAAAACTGTGAGTGGAGCAGCCTTGACTCTCAACAAATTTAACCTGTAGCTTGCCTTGATGGTGTCACCTGCTTGTCTTCATGGAGGTAGATACGTTTGATGCCATATTGCCATATATATTCCAGCAATGCAGTAACATCTCCATGGAAACAAGCAGGTGTCATAGTGCAAGATTGTGTCAGTTATGTTGTATATTGCTTATAAGTATAATGCCTTTCATTTAAAATCACTGACTGTTGCCTAAACATGAAATATTCTTTTATTGTGTGTAGATAACGTTTTTGCCATAAAGTCATGGACCAAGAAGAAGTTTTCCTTCGATGAAAACCACATTAACAAGGCCTTTGGGATCCCGGATGACTTTGACTACATGGACTAAATGTTGGCCCTTGAACTTTAGCTCCTGCCTGTATACACTGAATGTTTTAAGGTAGCACGAACCTTAAATCTCCACATCTGGTTCCCTGATTCTCATTCTGTCCTAACACGCATTAATATTCAAGTCAAATGGCCTAAGGAGATGAGCATAAAAATATTGGTCACAAAAAACATCTATCCTCTCTGCAACTGGAGAAGGGACTGATCCAACCATTAGTCAGCAGAGGACGCTGAAAGCAGACTATTAACACGACGTAGCAGACTTGGCACTAACCTTTAACAGCTAGTCTGTAGTCACACCTGTTTGCACGAAAACCAAGCCTAGAGTCGATGATGGAGTACAATCAACGCTTTACACTTCTATGCCAGTTATGTTCCTATACATTTCAACACCCTTATACTGAATGGGCTGAATGTGTTTTTGTGTCCTTAATTAATATTTTAGTTTTTCTAAAATATATTGATAGCAAACTATTTCAGTTATATATTTTGTGTTTTGTGCTTAAAGATTTTTTACTGTTTTATGAGAATAAAAAATATATATATATATTGCTGTTGGATATAACTGTCTCAGTCACAAATTATTTTCCAGAATGAAATCTCATGTCTTTTTTACAATCAGATTTGTACAATCAGAAATGAAGGAGCTCACAGGTCACCCGTCATTTACAAACAAAATAATATTTCTTTCACCTCAGATAACACATTTTAATGCTTAATGAATCTGTTTTTCATCGCCTTTTTTTCCCTCATAAGCAGCCATATTTGTTTTGATAGCAGCAGTTACCTTAGTGACACAATGCACACATTAGCAAACTGCCCCAAAAAGATCATCTGAAACTCAAAAAAAAGATCAGAATAGATTTATACAGCACATTTACGGGGGCCTGTGATCAATACGAGTGTTCATGGTTCTGTTTGTTTAACAGCACAAATCAGCTGACTTGTTATAATTCCAGCTAAGTCAGTTCTTTCTGGTCAGATTGTGCTAAATTAAATCTCAAATTTAAGTTTAACTTGACTAACAAAACTAACAGAGCAGTGTCGCAGCATCACATCCCCAGAGAATGTTGACGACATAATCTGCAAACGATCAAGAGGTCAAGTGTATAATCTGGATCCCAGGCAAACAAATTATATGCAAAATGCATTTAGCTAGATGACGAGAAGCACTGCTGTTTTGTCCAGATTCAAACGCAAGTCACCGTATTTGTTTCAATGTGTTATGGCAACAGCGTCCTACTTCAACTTTTATCTATGTGTGGCAATAGTTGTGTTTGGCAGAGCGGACACACCCACCAGAAGAGTCACCCACATGTGCAAGTGTCTACCTGCCTAACCTGTCCTGCTATGATTCACAAGACTGACACGCCACTGCTGCTGCCTTCACTGCAAGAAAAAAATGCAGAATTCTAGCCAGCTTATAGTAGTCTTACATTCCAAAGTAATTAAAATCACTTGGAACTGGAATCTGTTGTGGGTTGTGTTCACAAAATTTTGTGTCAGGAATTAATAGAGGCCAAGGGCAAATATTGATATTTTGCTCCAGAAGTGATCAACATTGCCTTAACTTGAGGTCCTTTCAACTGGAAAGTGGAGACTGGCAATTCCAGGACTGAAATTATCCAAATGATTCTAGTGAATGTGTATGGAGTTTAAAAACACAGTGGAGCACTCCCTGTATTACCACGACATTAGAAGGTGAAAGAGAGTGTTTTCTGGTTGAGAGAACAATCCAGCCTAAATATTCAGGATTTGTGTGTTAAATATGTTTGAATGAAACAAAACACAACTCTGGGTATGTTTTGATGAGGAAACATTATAAACAGATCATAGATAGTGTAATATAACTAGAATAACCAGAGTGCCAAAAGTGTGTGAAGAAAGAAAAGGTAAATGAAGACTCAACAGAAAAGTATTACAGAAACTGTGTGTTAAATGTCATTCTATTGTAAAATTATAACTACATTTATACCAGGATCACATCATCAGACACCTGTCAATCTAAAGACACCCGGGGGGGGGGGGGGGGCCTCCAATCCAAGCACTAGTGAGTGAGTGTATTTTGACATAGCAGTCCCAGACAGAGGCGGTGTGCCCCATGAGCAAACCTCTGCTGGCTCTTGAGTGTACATTGTGCAGCGGGAGGGAAAAGAAAGGAGGAGGAGAAGGAGGAGGGAGCTTGTGTGCGCTGCTGCTCGCTCAAAGAAAGACCAACACAGCGAAACACACAAGGCTGGCTGCGACTAGTGAGACAGAGCCAGCAGGGCAGGCAGCATGGCGGGGCCGCAGGACTTCCAGCAAGGCAGCCACTGTCACAGGAAAACGTGGATCAATATATTACTAGGAATACTACAATTACTTTTACCATGCGTACAGCACGGAGGAGCCCAGCTGCAAGGTCTGTGCGCACCTTTAGCACCTCTGCTAAAGGTGCTCTGTAACGTGCGTCCAGTTAGCCAGACCGCACTGCCGCAAATAGCTTTGGAAATTATTCTCCATCATTAACGTGCCACATGCATTTTGGATTAATTAGACTGACTATGCAAGCTGTTCGTTTCCAGTCGCTTGCTTAACCACGCTATGTTCTGTGTCTCCCATGAGGTCTGCTGTGTGGGTACAGTTTTGTCACAGGGCTAGTAGTTATGCTAACTGTAAACGTGAAAACAACTTGCCCGTACAGTCAAGCTACACATGGTACCCTTTAGAGCGTAATTTTAGCATATTTTATTGGCGCCATAAATCACGTAAATGTACATAATGTGCCAAGCTGACGCGGGGGAGTGCGGTAAATAAATAAATGTTGTGTGCAAGTTGGTTAGCCTGCGTGCTAAGCCTGTGCTAAACAGCAGCTAGCTCCCCGTCTTTGTCAGTCTGCAGAGGCGAAGTCATTTCCTCGCTGGACTGTACAGTGTGCATCCCATCTCAGGTTTATGTGAAAAACCTATTGGGTTTTTTTTATTTAGAAAATAACAGACTTTCAACCTTAATACGCTATACTGAACCAGAATAGATGAATTTATAAACTTTTAAATTACCAATTTGTCAAAATAATGTTATTGTCTTTTATATAAAATGTCCACAACAAGTTAACATCATTTTATTAGAATGGTGTTAATAATTTAACATTATTAAATCAAAATTCTTTGGTAGGTTTTTTGTTGTTTGTGTAATTTTTTATTTATTTATTTATTTTGGTAACAAACACTAAGAGTAGATTGTCAAAATTTTAGTTATGCAAATATAATTCACTTTTTAACTTGTGTGGATAATTACTTACTACTTATTTCTTTTACGATTAGGAATATATATTTTTATTTATATTTACTTTTTGTATGTTTTTCTTTTTAAAGCCCTGAGTCAGATTTCTACCAGCGTTGTGGAGGTCTGGCAACCAGAGGATGCAGAACCTTTAATCCCACTTCAGGTATTCAAATTAACTTTTTTGCATAGGCACATGTAAATGTTCAGTACACAGTGACACTATGTTGCAAGCCCTGACCTGCTCTTTTTTTAGGCTTTCTCTACTGTTTGAGCTATCACTCGCCAGTAGTCCAGCGATTGAGTAGTTTCTGTAGTCTTTGAAATGAAACTGGTGTGAGACCACCTGCCACTTGGCTCCTCCTCGTTTTCTTTTGTACATAGTGTCCATTGTGAGGAGACTATAGTGCACACTTCTGGGGCACACTCCGGCACGTAGGGATCAAGCATGCCTGAGCGTAGCTGGGGCTTTGCTTACTTTTGTTGGATTCATATTGATTGTGCTTTAACAAGATTACATAAGGTGGTAATAGTAGTAGCAGCTTGTTTTTACTGATAACCTGTCAGTAGGTCACTACTCTGCTGTCTGTCATGTTACCTGTGGGTGTGGCACTCTAGTGTAAACATGCAGGTGTCGTAGGTGTCAAGTTACAGGAAAATATCCACTGCAGAATATTTGGAATTATTCACTTCACGTATTCCTAGCATAAGGGATGATTTTTTTTTTTTTTCTTTTATATTAATTGCGATTAGGTTTACAGTTTGTTTTGAACAGTTCTGTTCAAAGTTCACATTCTAAAGCACAGTTCACAGACTAAACTTTAGACTTTGTACAGATCTAAACTTAAGGATTAGCAGTTTTTATGCAGAATAAGGCCTGATATTTTGTTGTTTGTGGTGGAAGTTGTAATCATTTGTATAACTTCCTCCACAATTTGCAATTTGCTAATTGCATCCATTCAAATTGTGATTAATCTTACAGCCCTATTTGGCAGATTTATGTGCAATATCTTAATACCTACCCTTGTGTTAATTCTTCACAATATGTCTGCTGAGCATTATGCATAATGTTCTTTCTTGTTATTGTCGTCATTATACACACATACATTATATATTTTTTGAATTATAAGACCTCTACCAGATTTCGAACCATGTGTGAATTACATGTTTAGAATCCACTGCACACTTTGCCCCATCTGTCACTCTGAACCATGACAGAGAAACAACTGTTTGGTAGTCACAGGCACTTGTTTCCACTTCGTTCAAATTCAGTACTGTCTCTGATTGGGTGAAATTGTTTGTCCCTTGCAGCTGTTTCCTTTTTAAAATAGTATAGTGACGCTATGTTTTTTGTTTTTTTTTGTTTTTTGTTATTCTTTTTTTTTACTAATAGCTGCTTTTACAATACATTGTACACTTTACACTAGAAGAGATAAGTCATTTATAGCCAGGCCCTTTTTTGTGCTGCTCCTTATTCTTCAAAGCTGTGGGTAATTGTCAGGTGTTAATTAAAGTGCCATCCCTGAACAGTGATGAGTACAAGGCCTTTTGTAAAATTAATTGCACCATTTTGCAAATTCTTTTACTGAGCTACTGTTGATGAGTGAGATGAGAAGTAAAACTCAATGTATTAGCAGTTTAAAGTTTCCAGTTTTGGAAACCATAACATTCAAATTATTTGAATGGCTATAAAACCTGGAAGTTCCTAGTATTGACTGTTGACACATTCACTCAAAATGCTTTAGAGTTCTTTGGAAAATTAAGCCCGGAATGGCACGTTAAATCTCTTGTTGCTCTTGGATTGCATTTTCACTATGGAATATCTTTGATAAAGAGTAAACAGTGTAAGCCCTACCAATTGTTCAATTTTTTATTTTAATATATGCAGCTATGTTAATTAATATTTGTGCAAGTTTTTGTATAATTGTTGAATCAAGTAACCCTTTTGGTAGCATCCATAAAATTGTGAACATGTAAGGCACTGACA